TCTCTTAACAAGAACATGGACCTGGTTTCACTGTGGTCCTGTCACTTTTCTGTGTCTCCAAGCTTAGGGCCAGGAAGAGCAAGAAACGAGGCTTACTTTTACAGGACCAAGATCAAGAAAATGCTCCTAGCACAGCCAGGCCTGGTGGGGCACACCTGTAATCCCAGCTCTGGGGCAGGTGCTGAAGGGTAGGATTGCTGTGAATTGGAGGCAGGCCTGGGGTACACAGTAAGTTCAAGGACAGCCTGAACTACATAGTGAGACCTTGTCTCAAAAGGCAACAACAAAATGCTCCTAGCAGGTAGGATCTAGATGTAATTTTTTTTCCTGTCTTCTGTCTTTCTGTGAACTAGCCTGTTTTTGGAAAATGCTTTTGGATCTTGTTTCACAAAGCAACCCTAGCTCTGGGGCAGGTGCTGAAGGGTAGGATTGCTGTGAATTGGAGGCAGGCCTGGGGTACACAGCGAGTTCAAGGACAGCCTGAACTACATAGCGAGACCTTGTCTCACAAGGCAACAACAAAATGCTCCTAGCAGGTAGGATCTAGATGTAATTTTTTTCCTGTCTTCTCTCTTTCTGTGAACTAGCCTGTTTTTGGAAAATGCGTTTGCTTTGCAGGCCACGTATATGGCATCATTTGTCTTTAAAGCCAAATAGTCTAGAAGGCAGAGACGATGAGTTTTTCACAGCTGGAACAGCACTGCCGCTTATTCCCAAGCTCCCAATTTTGACTGATTCCCAAAATCAGAATAGGCAGGATGGGCTCCGTGGTGAGCTGCTTATACGAGACCTTCCAGACCTTGACGTTGGGACCGTCAATGCATTTCATTTAGCCTGTTTATGAGTAACAATAAAAAGCAAACGTAAGATGGTTTACACGGGGTGGAACTGATACACTGGTGTATGACGGGCACCTGAGTGCAGACCCTTCCGTTTCTCTGACGTGTACGCTTCTGTCCGGTTAGGGTACCGATTACCCACGAGGACTTCTGAGGCTCCTACCCTTGTGTCCTTCCACAGCACAGCCAGGCTCCAGGGCGGACGGTGCACCTTCTGCCTCTGACACGTCACTTTGAAGTAACACAAAACTGTGCCCTACTTCCTGTTGGCCAGGGCGTGATGATATGTCTATTCACTGCTTAAATGGAAGCTAGGGTGATTTTTTTCTTTGTAGGGGGTATAAACCCTCAATGGGAAAATACAGTCTTTATCGTACTGTATCTTGTGATTGGAAGAGTAGTTAATTAAAGTGTCAAGCAGGATATGGTGGACCATCTTGGGTTTGGGGTTTTTGTCTGTTTGTTTATTTAAGACAAGATCTTGCTGTGTAGCTCAGGCTAGCCTTGAACTCACAGCGAGCCTCCTGCCTCTCAGCCGCAAGAGTGCTGAGATTACAGGCGCGCTGTACCACACTTGGCAGTGGTAGGCCATCTTGATGGATTTGACTGTCATACCTTTGTGGGAACTCAGAATTTACCTTTGGAAAGTATTAGGAGGTGATTATGAGAGTGAAAAGAGAAAGAGAAAAGTGAATCTGTAATGCATCCTTGGGTAGAAAGAATATTTCCTTCTGCAAGGAAGATTTATATTTGCTAAGGCATTTGGCACAGACACCATATTTTTTTTCCTCATTGAGTTTATTGGTACATTTTAGGTATATAGTACAGTTACATTCATCATTGGGATCTTGTACCTTTACATGACAGGTCTTGGTTCTCATTTTTCCCCCTGGTCCCTCCCCTCCCTTCACCCCTCCTCCCCTCCCCTTCCCACTTTCCTTACATCTTTAGCCCTTTTCTGACACCACATATTTTCAATAATACCATTTCTTGAGTTTTAGTCCCTCAAATAAAGCTTGTTACAAACAAGGAAGGGGTTTTTCTTGGTAAATTTGGGAGCTAGTTTATTTTATGATGCTATCAGAGACTACTTGGCATTTTGTTTGTCAACTTTGCCATTAAGACTCTGCGTCTTACCTTCTTTCCTTGCTCCCACAATATACAGCACCTGGAGATTCTGTATCACTAACCATCTACCCAGTTCATAAATCTTTGAGAGAAAGAACTTACCCTTAACCCTCCTCAGAACAAACAAATCTGGATAAGAAATTAGGGAGTACTCTGGTTAGTGTATTGATTTCAAAACAATTTTGAAATTTAAACAACCATGCAATAATATTAAGAAGCAGGGCCACTGGGGCAATGGCCTTGTAAGAGGATGAAGGCCTTTTTGTGGTGAGGTGGATAGCAGAGTCCCTTACCAGATCTTGGACCATGCTCTGAGACTTCCCGGCCTCTAAGGCTGTAAGCGAAGTAAACATTTATTTATCATCTTCCCAGTTTAATACCCTCATATAAGAGCAGATAACAGACGAAGACAGGAAGTTGTATGATAAAATGATAGAACGATAGGTAGCATGTGAACATAGCTACTGCTTCCATGATGTTATTAATTAGAACCCATGTGCATCGAAGTGGCTGCAGGCTAAAGAGTAAGTTAGCAGAAACAATGCTATGTACTTTCTTTCAAAATTTAACCACTGAAAATTTTAGCCAATCTCTGCTTTCTGCCTGTCAAGAAATCATTGACAAAGCTATCCATAAATTAGACTAGCAGTTATTTTTTAAGTATTAAGTAGCAATCATTTTTGCACTGGCTTACATCCTCAGACCTTTGTTATTTTATGTTTTGAGGCAGGCTTTCACCAAATTGCTAAATAGCCCAGGGTGGGCCTGAATTTATGGTCCTTTTCCTTCTGTCTCCCAGAGTTCTGGGATTACACGGTTGCTGTAGCATGCCCAGCGAGTATTCGATATTATTTACTTGCTATCAGTCAGAGGAGACCAAGACCAGGGACTGAAGTTAGCACATGCAGTAGTGGGAGAGTAGCACAAGCATGAAGATTTCACAATACAAGGAGATTCTTTATTCATGTGTAGAGTACAAAAACTGTGATTAATAGATGTAACTCATCAGTATTTTTGCCAAATCTATCCTGTCTACTTCCCACTCCAGGAGGGACGATCGTTTAACATTACTGGGGAAGAAACAGTAACAGAATTAATTTTATGTTTTAAAATCTTAAAAAGCATGTTAAGCATCAGCAAATGTATATGTTGTAAAGAGCCAAATCTTTTGTTACTGGGGTCCTTGCGCTTGCGAGGCAGGCCACCGAACTGCTGAGCTAAACCCCCCGGCCCTAGAGCCAAATCTTAAAAAAAACAGCTTTTCACTTTAGCTAGCTTGAGACAGCAGCTTTATTTGCATGAGAAGTTAGTATTAAAATGTTTATCTTCATTAGAATTTTCCTAAAGAAATAGATCCATAAAATCCTTTTGATTGTACCACATGCAGTAGGGGAATCACACCTATGTGGGAGGTTGAGACAAGAAGATAGCAAGTTTGAAACCAGCCTGGGCAATTCAGTGAGATCCTACCATGATATGAAAACAAATTATAAGGGTTGGGGAAGTAGCTAAGTGGTGGAGTGGGGCCCTTGGGTTTGATCCTATTACCAAGGGTGTGTGTGTGGATGGGGGATAACCACTTGATTTTACTTACATCTTTCCTACTTTTGTGCAATTTCCATTGTTTGTTTCCATTTTCTTGATAAGGATAGTCAGTAGTTTTATATATATATATGTGT